CCCCCCCCCCCCCCCCCCCAATCGTGCAGGGCATACTGGAGCAGCGAGGGGACCCCGTAACGGTGAATGACGCTGTACAGGAGCTCTTGGAGCGCGCCAGGCGGCTGTGCAGAGATCAGGAGAGCAAGAGGGCTGAGCTTGAGGCGAACTACCTGGAGTCCTTCAACCTCGCCAAGGAGAGTGGGACAGGTACTGCTGTAAGTAGCGGTATAGCGTGGCATTATGGCATTATGAAGAGAGCGTTGTTGCGGTGAAGTTCGGCGTTATTTTTGCAAACCTGAGGTTTTTACGGCTAAAAATGGCGGAAGCTGTGACCTTCATCTTGGACAAACGTTCTCGGGTGTTGGTGTAGCACCACTCGCAGGTCCACACAGCTTTTGGAGCGCTCGAATCTGTTCACACTCGTCCCTCTGCCCAACACCTGCCAACTGGAGTGTTGCCTTGCTACCATGAGTGATGCCTTCCTGCGTTTATCTGTAAGCAACGGCCGAGATGAAACTAACGGGAGTGAGAGATCGACCCATCCCCATCGTTCCACCCTTGAGGTGAAAAAAAAAAAACGGACTACTTTCATGCTGGTACGCATGTTTTACGATTGCAGTGACGCGTGTCCCTACCCGCCCCTAAATGCATGCATGTCCTTTTGACGCGGTGTACGCGCCAGACGACGCCGAAAAGCAGAACGCGATCAATCGCTTGACGCAGCTTATCCTAGAGTCGGAGAAGCTCGTGCCCATGATGAAGGACAACGATCAACAGACCATGGCCATTGCTGTGAGTTTTTCTTTCGTTGTCGAAGGGTTCGTAAGTATCCGCACTTTGTTGCTTCGTGTCTTGTCATCGAACTTTGCATTTGATCGGTGCCCATGGTTCTTGCTAGTAGTGTCAATGTTTTCCAAGGAGCCCATACATTCGAAGCTGGATGGGACTACCATCGCGACTGCTGTGTTTGACAATGTAGTCCTGTCCTGTTTGTGTTGCCAGCAGACCTCGCACCTATTTCGTCTATTACGTACGTCCTTGCAGTTCGTGCTATTGTCTAGTGGAGATGCGTGCCTCTATGCCTATGCACACAGACGCTGAACGTGGTTCAACAGTCTTGCTCCTCTCGTTTGTAGCGACGTTCGCGTGTCTTGCAGTTGATGCGTTTGCATTTGTACACATGCACTTATCGTAGCCGAACGATCTCGCTCTGCTCGCAACGACGTGCACGTGCCCGGCATTTGCTGCTGCGACAACTGCCCCAATGTACGATGTTGCATTTTAGATGGAGATCGCGACAGCTAAGGCGTCGCTGTTGACCAACCTCCGGCAGCGCCTACGCGAGGTTTCCAGGCTACAGACCGACATCGGGAAGATACAGAAACACCAGGAGCTGGTGGGGATGGCTTGGGGGCAGAAGGTGGGACCACTTCCCCTCCACCTCTAACGCCTTACAATGTACCATGGTTTCTGCAACTTTCTCGCGCGGACAAGTCGCCTATGCTGCCTCGCCCAATTGCTACCACCGTCACCAAGGCTAGGCATGTGGCCGGGTTTGTGGCGGAGCAGGAGGCTTTTTTTTTTTTCGAGCCCCCTGTGTGTATCTCAACTGCTGGTCGTACCGACCGGATGTTGTTTGGAAGTTGTAGATGCGGTTGTTGCTGTTTTGCCTGTTCGCCGTTTTTCTGCGTTGGAAGCCTTTGCACTTCGGTCGCCATGGGCTCTACCACATATCCACGTCCGGCTTGGTGTTCCTGCCTGTCCCCACCTTGTTTGCGTTTGGCTTGTCCAAACGCTTCCGTGTTCTCTCTTCAAGCCTTCAGCCTCGTTCTTTGCTTGGTCGTCCGGTCTCTCTCGACTTCGGGTTCACGCCTACCTCCTGTGTGCCTTCCGCTGCTTACTGCTTTTTGTTTCTGCATGTCGAAACACTTTGGTTTTCTCTCTTGTTGCTTCCTTCTTTGCGATGGTTGGTCGTCCTGTCTCGCTGCTGTATGCCTTGCGTCTCTCTGCTGTATGCCTTACGTCTCTCTGCTGTTTGCCTTCCCTCTCGCTGCTGTATGCCTTACGTTGTCCATTGTGAACATGTTGCGGTTTGCGTGTTGTGACCTACCTGTCTCTCAGGAGGAGCAGTTCGAGCACCTCGGGAAGGTGGCGAGGATGCCTGCGGCGTACAACGCTTTCCTTCGTGAGGTCTTAAGGCAACGTCGATTCCATGAGGTACCTCTCGCACCCTCGCGGCATGCGGGCGCGCCCTGATTTATGAGTTAGCCTTCTAGTTTCGACACCATTGTGTTTTGGAAGCTGTATTGATACTTCTAGAACACTTGCACGTCAGTCGAGGTGGGTTTGCGGACACCGCACCCGACATGTGGTGGTGGAGATGGGCTGGATGTGACAATACGGAAAAAGTATGTCTTGTGTATTGTACTGACTACAGCAAGCCTTTTGCCATGAAGATGTCACGGCGACCCGCAGCAACCCTTCCCGGGTAACCCCTTCTTGAGAAGTGCCACGTATTGGGCACAATCCGAACCACGCCATTGCCATCGTTTTCGCCCTCTCCGCCTTCTGTTGTGATTGCACAACTTCTTTTGTGGTTTCACATTTTCTATTGTGATTGTTCGACAGGACTTCGAGGCGACGGTGTCGGACTTCTGCAACTCCATGGCCGCTCTCCGATCCTCTGAAATAGTGTCGAGGCAGGAATTCATCCAAACACACCTCGGGAATCTCCCGCCCGTGTTCCTAGAGGTACGCGATTTCCTGCACTGCTGTGCAACGGCAGTTGACGCCTCTCTCGCATGCTTCTACAATATCTTGCTGGTTTGGCGGCAGTCACAACAATCTGGCATGCTAGCAAGTCTTGATGTTGCATTCTACAGTAAATGAGCTGATGCCACCTATTTGGTATTTGCCGCACTGCTTCTTGTGTTCTACAGCAGAATGCTATCATAATAGTAGCTCTCTTGGCATTCCACTACAGGCAGGCACGGTTCGATGCCATTCTTCAGCACTGAAATAGTTGCCTCCAGTTAAGCCCTTGTCCACCTCCAACGCACGATACCCTCCTGTTTCTTGTCGTCCGACTATTATACGACCACGCCGCACGCAGATGGCACCGGGCCTCCGCAACATGCCGCCGACCTTCAACCCCGGCCCGATCACGCCGCTGAGACCGGGAGAACTCCCCGAAGTCTACCCCGACCCTGCTGCCGCCGACGAAGAGGTGGACGGGGGCGGCGAGTCGGCGAGCAAGGAAGCCGGCGGTGCCGGTAGTGTTGCAGGTAGCGTCACGCCCGAAGCGGCGGCAGCGGTGGTGGTGGCTGGGGCAGGTGCAGCAACCGCGGTGGCGGCGGCGGCGATACAATCGAGCGCAGCGGAGACGGGGTCGGCTGCGGTTTCCACGCAGACAACGGCGGCTGCGGTGGACGGGGCGGCCGTCTCCACGCAGACAGCGGCGGCGGCGGCAGCGGTGGGCGGCGCGGCTGTCTCGACGCAGACGGCAGCGGCGAGCGGGGCGGCGGTCGGGACACAGACGGAGCGAGACTGGCTCCGGCCTACGAACGAGGGCCGGAGCGTGGAAGGTGATGGTGGCAGCGGGGGGACCGATGATGACGTTGGTGGAGGCAGAGCAGACGCTGCGGCCGCAGAAAGCGTTGAGGCCCGCGGCGAGGGCGATGCACCGGTTGAGAGCGTGGAGGAGCGAGCAGCCGGCCAGGAAAGCGGCGTCGCCAGGTCGATTTCCGCCCTGGAAGCAGAGAACGCCCGTCTCGCCGACGAGCTCGCCAAGGCTCGATCCCGGCTCGAGGAGCTCGGTACCGCCGCTGCGGGAGCACCGGCGCTAGAGTCGGCTCCATCGGAGGCAGAGCGGGCGGCGATAGAGCCGGACCGAAGTCCAGGAACGACTGCTGCTGCTGCTGCTGCTGCTGCTTCAGGTGGTGGCGATGATGCTGTTGTTGTCCCCGGTGCGGTGGAAGGAGAGGACCCAGCCCCGATGCCGAGAGGTGTGGGTGGCGAATTCGCACGGCCCCGACGCAGCTACAGCGACGTCGTGGTGAGCGGAAGCGGCCGCCGGGAGTCGGCAATTGCTGCCACCGCCTCCGCCGCAGCATCTGCTGGAGGAGGAGGCGAGGTGCGCGGTACAGGCGCCCGGCGCGGGTCATCGAAGGAAACCAAGAACCAGTTGGCCGCGTACCGCGCCGGTCTGACGATGCTGGTCAAGTTGACCGACCAACACAAACTTGCTGACCAGCAGCGTGGCGGCGCTGCGGTAGGGGTGGCGTCGGCGTCGGCGGCGGAAGCGGCATCGGCGGTACAGCCGGGGGCGATGGAGGACCCGGCCGTAGGTACAAGGGCGACGGTAACTGCAAGAACGGCTGCTGCCGAGGACCCGGCGTCACCGTCTTCGCCAACTGATTCCGAGGGCCATCCATCTCCCGGTAGTGACCGCCCGACACCCGCTACGGCTGTGGACGGGCAGGCCACCGCCGGCGGCGGTGGTGATGTTGGTGACGCGGCATCGCCGGACGTGAAAGAAGCGTCGGAGAGAGAGTCAACAACGGTCCCCGACCGAGCTCAAGAAGCACACCCAGCAGCGGCAATATCAGCCGTAGAGGTAGACAAGGATCACGCCACAGCGAAACCAGCGGTGGCAGAGGCCACGGCACCACCAGAGGACAGGCAGGGGGGAGCGCGGCCGGCGGGAGAGGATTCATGTTCATCGCCAGACCACAATGAAGCGGCGTCTCCCGAAAGGGCGGCGACGACCCCGGCAAGTACGGCGACCGGAGGCACCGCGGTGGAAACGGCGGGCGGGGGGCTGGTCGCAAGGCCATCGGGGTCTCTCGGAGGCGTCGAGCGGATAAGGCGCGCGGCGGACTACGTGGCAACTCACCTTCAGTACAACCATGTGAGGGCTGTTTTGCGGTTGCTTTCAGGTGGTTGTGGTTGTGTCTTTGTTGCGGGAGAACGGATGATGGATGTCCCTTGGAGATGAAAGCGTGAGAGGGCGGTTTTGGCTTCATCTTGATGATTGTCGTGGCGTTTGGACTGAGTGGGGTGGGAGGCACTCACCCTGCTTGTCCGTGTGCCCATCGGGCAAGTCGTTTCGTGTCAAAACGATCTTGAGAACACTTGTGCAAACGGCTAGCCTATCGCTATCGTTAATGTGTCTTTCAACAAAGATCCACACGCACCTTTCTTCCCTTCGTCGATACACTTGCTGACGGACGGACGGAGTCTCGTACACGGGTTGGAACGAGGAAAGGCACAGCCCTGCCTTGTCTTGGGCGTTGCTCTTGTTGCACTTGGCGGGGGCGTCAAGTTGGCTGGCCGAGGCACTGCAACCGGGTAGGTTGCACTCGTACGATCTATTTCCCGAGTTGCCCTGGTTCTTGAGGAACTTGCCTGTCTTAACACTCCTAGTCAATACAGATGATTTGGTCAGTTCGCCCACGACCTTGTAGGTTGATGCTCCTCTTCCTCACTCACCAAGGCTTCGGGCGTGGATGGGTGGGGTCTTGTAGACCGTGGCTGCAATCCTGGTGGCCAGGGTTGTTCAAGGAGTGGTCCTGGCGCCAGGACCATGCCTCGAACAGCCTTGGGCGACCAGAATCGCAGCCACGATTTGTAAGACGCGATCGGCCAATCTCGAAGCCTTGGGTGAGTGAGGAAGAGGCCCATCAACCTGTAAGGTCGTGGGCGAACTGACCAAATCATCTGTATTGACGAGGAGTGTAAGAAGAGAAACTCCTCAAGAACCAGGGCAAGTCGAGAAATAGGCGGTATTGTACGATTGTAACGTACCCGGTTGCAGTGCCTCGGCCAGTCAACTTATTAACTTTTCACCCCCGCCATTATGACAAGAGCAACGCCCAAGACAAGGCAGGGCTGTGCCTTTCCTGCTTCCAGCCCGTACACGAGACTCTGTGCGATGGCAAGTGTACTGTATCGACGAAGAGAAGAACGTGCGTGTGGATCTTTGCACGTGACTAGAGCAGTGTGTGTCTCTGGCTACGTAGTGTGTGGCTTATCCTTGCGGACAGTATTGTACGTGTGGCAACGATGTGCTTTTTGGTACAATCATGGTAGTCGCTTTCGTTGTGCTGGGTGACCTGTGCTCCAAACGCGCATTTTTTAAGTTCAACCTTGGAATGGTATGCGCGTATGTCAGTCGATTCTTTTTCGAGGCCACTGTCTCGTAAGTGTGTCTCTGACGCATGATGCCGCCCTCTTAATGAAGCCTCATGCATAAACCTACGACTACATTGTGTGTGTACGTACTTATTGTGGTGAACACTTCGTGTCCCCTCCTCCGACAACTACGACGAGGGTGTGTGTATGCTCATATACCACCTAGAAGCCATAATTGAATCTATTCCATGAACACCCCCGTTTGATTGCTGTTTGGAGAAAGCCGCGAAAGAGTGCGGGGCACCAGAGACTTGTCGTTGCTGCCGAACCCCCCCTCCACACAAGTACACCTCGCCGAACACCACGCTGATGCCCCCCCCATCCCTCTTGCCCCCGGCGGCATGTCGATTTTGGGCACGCTGCCTCTGCCTCTGCATGTGCTGCACTGCGCGATGACGACGACGACGACGGCGACGATGACATGGCAGGCTCTAGCTGCCGTACCGCGAATCTCGATGTGCTCTTTCAGCGTACAGGTATGATATGTGCAGCATCGAACAGGTTATAGTGCGGTCTCTGTCTAGACGCCTCGACTTGATGCCTGTCGGCTAACGGTTGATGGTGGTCGATCGCCTCATGCCTGATAACTCATGACCTCCCAGCCCCGAGAGGTCCTCGCGCGAACCAAGTACCATAACCTGTTTGGTGGTACTGCAGCGTACGGTGCAAGGGTCTCAAGCACATATCGCACGGCTATCTCTCTCACAGCGATCGAACCAGACCCCGTCTATAATAGTTTGTGTCTAAACCCATTGCCGCCGAAAGAGCCAAGTCAGGGGTACAGAACCCCACCACAACCATCGTAGTCTATTCGATTTTACTTGCGGTACAGTATCGTTTGAATCCGACTGTACAACTTTTTGCTTACCCGGGCAGCTTGGTCATGGCGTCATGCCTGACAGCGAGATGGCTCACAACCCCCCCCCCCCCCCCCCCCCCCCCCCCCCCCCCNCCCCCCCCCCCCCCCCCCCCTCATGGTCGTCGTCGTGGTCAATATCTATATCCAGGACATCGCGCTGTTCCTGCCGACTATGGTGGGATCTCCGGACGGCTCTTCGGGCGGCCCGGTGTTCCTGGCGTTTCACGTTAACTGCCCGAACCGGTACCTGTCCGAGGAAAGCATCAACAATGCCCGCGAGACGCTGGGTGCTTCTCCGGCGTACATATTGGGCCGCATCATCCTGGTGGAGCAGCACGTGGCCTCTGAGGTGAGTCGAGTCGCCATGGAAGGGGGGGGGGGTGTACTCACGTAAATGCATGCCGTAGTCATTAGGTTGTTGACGTCGCATGCCGAGACGGAGCGTTTGGCGTACGATTTCGTGGAATTTCCCGGGTGGTTGGTAACCTTACGCTGTCTGTCGCCCAAGTTATACAAGTATTGCACACGTCGGATAGATCATTATCTTGATGGTCTGTGGTCTTTGGATCAAGCGTTGGAAGTATCATAGATGATCTGTGGAGTATAGATCAAGAGCACGCAGGTCGGTCTATGGAGTATAGATCAAGAGCGGCAGATGTGTTCGGATCAATCTGCGTCTTTAGATCAAGAGTCGGAAATATCACAGATGATCTACGGGTTATAGACCAAAAGCGGCAGATATCACAGATGATCTATGGATTATAGATCAAGAGCGACGAACACATTCGGATCTACATATCCGAACCTATGTATCAACACTCAAAAAGTCACAGATAATCTGTGGTCCTGTGGCCTACAGATGAAGAGCCAAAATATGTTGTTGTTGTTGCTGTCTTCACGTATAAAACTGTTCCTTTCTCTCTACCCAGTACCTTCTTCTGTCCGCACTAGTCAAACACTCACGACAACACTTGACGCGGTCGATTCCCGTGGTCATGGGCTGAGGTACCCAAAAAAGGTACAATACACGAAAGCAAAGTGGATCCGAAGGGTCCGAGAGTCAATAGGAGTTCACGACAGGCCAGTCGTCCGAGGGCTAGGGCTCCCATGACCGCCCACGGGGATAACCTCTTGGTCTGCAGCCGAGGCGGCGGCAGAGCTGCCGCCACTCATGTCTGCCATCCTAGGTGGGCGTGGCCTCTCGCGTGTGTGGGAGCTCTGTGGTGTGTGGAAGGTGTGGGAGAGCTCTCTCGAGAAGCGGCATGGCACGTGCCACGCGGCAGGAAAGACCACCCGCATGATCTGTGGTCTACAGATGTAGAGCGGCAGGTATCACCGATAAACTGTGGTCTACAGAAAAAAGAGCGGAAAATATCACCGATGATCTGTGGTCTACAGATAGAGAGTCAGAAAGAGTCGGAAATAACACCGATGATGTATTGATCATAGATCATGACCTGCGGACAATGTACAGATCTGTGTTTATAGATCAAGACACGGAAATATCGCAGATGATCTGTGGATTATAGATTAAGAGCGGCAGCTATGTTCGGACCAATTTCTATACATCAAAAATCAAAACATGAACAGATCGATCTGTAGCTATAGATTTGGTGATGTTGGACCGAAACGATCTATAGCGATCTATAGCGATCTCATCTGTCCCATTGGTAAAGGGTCAAGAGGTAATGCTTTCCCCTAAATATGCGCCTGGAAATGATTCTGTCCTCAAGATTTGGTGATGGTGAGGTCGATGCGTTGGGCTCGCGACGACATGTGACTTAATCCTCTCATGCATAGCCCACCGGATACGGAGATCCCAAAGCCAACGAGATGCTTGTCTGAGGGCTTTCCCCTCTTGCCGCGGAATGTGCGTCCCTTCCTGCGTGTGTGTGTGCCACGAAACAGGAGCCCAACCCGTACAACGTTGCTCCGAATACGGTGTACTACGTCCTCACCGCAGAAAACGTCGGCTAGAAAGATCAGGCCAAGGCCTTGTCACGGCCAGCAAGGGACATGAAGAAGGGGGGCATCAAGATTGTAATATCTAGTGGGGTCGCGGGGTCGGGTTTTGGTTCAAGGACGGGAAAGATTGCTACGGAGTATTGTCGTTCCACGGCCGGCTCGCCCTTGTGCCGGGCAGGATTGTCGGCCCATCCACGGCCCGAATGAGCGCGGCCCCGGCATCGAAAGACCCAGGAGGGGGCGCTATTCTGATTAGGGTCGATATCCATCGCCATCCCCAGTAGTCGCCCCCTCATTGGGAGGAGCAGGTCGCTCGAATCGGTCACAGACGGCTGCTTGTCCTTGTCGAGGGCACTGTGGTCTTGGTTGCCTTGACGGTGTCGGTGTTGGTGGTGGTGGTCGTCTTGTTTGGATTCCCGCTCGTGTAGGTTTTTTACCCATCGGCCGACCCAGTCGATCGCTTTTTTTCTTGGTTGTTGCACCCCGCCATAGTGAGTGACTTGTATAGCTGCCTCCTGATGTTAGTTAGTGTTTGCGTTCTGTGTATCTACCAATTGTGTGATTCCGTTATTGCGGCAATGCTTCCAAGTACTTGGTAGCAGGCGGCCCCCACCACTTGTACCTGCTGTGGTGTCGCTTGCTCCGTTTCCCCCGTCCTCCGGGGGGGGTATGGTTTTGGTGGAGTCAAAGTTGACGCGCGAAAAAGTAGCATACTGCCTGTATCGCACAACGGTGATGATCTAGGTGATACGAGTGGTTTACCGGTTGAGACGGCGCGCTAGAACGAGTTGGTGGCCTATTCGTTTTTCGGCCCTGTGCCCCCCCGAAGTCTGCGCTACCCTTCGGTGGTTGGATGACGTTGATAGAGCCGGAGGGTTTCCACCGATGTGGATGTTTGTGGTACCGTTTCGCCCCGAGTTCTTCCTCGTGGATGGCGGTCATAGTTTCTCCTGCTGTTAACAGAACGTACGTGCGGTTGTACCGCCGTTTCTGTTTCTTGTGTGGCTGTTGGTGGCGCAGAGACCTCGTGGGCTCGCGCTGCACGGCAAGTCGAAAAGTCGCGTCGCCTCGTTTTAAACAAGGAAGTCAATGCAGCACGACTATCCATGTATTCAGGATACAACCGCTGATGACAGCAGTGTTTGAAAACCACACACGCACCCCAAATCATGATATGGACTGCTTGTCTGGTGTGCTGAGAAGGTTGGAAATTGCTGTCGTTGTTTGCACCTGGTTGGAGGACGCTCAATCGACCGTGAAAGGTGCGAGCCTCGGCCCGCTATATATGACACGGGCAGGCGTGTCATCTTTACCAAGACATGTACCACCCTTCTTTCTTATCCACGCTCGTGACGCCGCCATCGTTACAAGACACAAACGGCACTTAAAACGAGAGGGGATTTCGGAGTCTGCTGCAGATCTTCTGCAGTACTCATCACAACGTACAGTAAGCGCCCGCAATTAAGATTTTTTTTAATGAATTAGAAGCTCACTTTTCCACAAAATCTGAGAATACGGTAGGGTTGGATACTGGCGCGCAGCGCCAGTACAAAGTATACTGGCTGCTGACGCAGCCA